GACAGGACGTGACCACTTGCAGAGCATGGCATCATCAACGCACGCATGCCCAGCGAACGTGCCCCCTCTGACACCATCCGGCTGTGTCAGAGGGGCTGGCCCAGAAGAAGAAGAAGACCCGGCGCTTTCGAAGGGGCTTCTTGGTCTCTGGTTTTTTTTCTCCTTCCTCCGACATGTAAGCCCCGCTCCTCTTGTTCTATAAAAAGAGGCGCATGGCACCCCGCTAAACCGCTAAAGGGGGGGGAGATCGGCTGGCAGAAAGCTTGATCGACATAATTCAACAGCATACCCACATACACACGGCCAAGCGGACACCAAACTCTTGACGTCCTTTCGATCATTTCCATCAAAGACCTTGGATCAGTCCCTCTCTTGACCGTTTGTACCCCCTACTATGAACCATATTCGGCGCTAATAACACGAGCAGCAGCAGACTGGAGTAGGGACATTCGGTCCGAACCAGTATAAACATTGTGTCCTTTAACACACCATTCAGACCTAACACGTATCAATTATAAATTTACTAGCAAGTGCTGGTTCGAAACACCGACGTGCGTTTTTCGTGCTGCCGACAGGGGACGACGACGACTGTCTGAATCGTCGGGCCGACGTGCTTGGATTCAGGTTTGCTTCTTCGTCGGCAAGGCTCCGGACGCTGCTCCAACCCACCGGAGTCAGCAGAAGACGAAACGACAAGTCCTGAAAATTTTGCTTTGGATCAGTACGAGCTGTTGGATGTGAAATGGAGGGATGAGATGAGAGCTAAGTCACGTGGTGACTTACCAGAGGCAAAGTTACTCAATCCTGGTCCGCGGGTGCCGCACCGCCGCTCCATCCCGGCCGCCGCCTCCCTCCACCCTCAGCGCCTCCCTCCGGCCCGGACGCCGCCTCCCCTGGCCCAGATCTGCCGGCGGCGGGCAGGTCCCTGCCGGATCTGGCCTCCACGACCGCACCCCACCCCACCGCAAGGCTCCAGAGCTCCGGCACGCCGGATCTCCAGAGGCTCCCGCCGGCCGCCGGCAGCCAGCAAGGCTCCAGGACGCCGCCGCTCTCTGAGATCCCGCCGTTCGCCTGGATCACGCCTCCCTCCAGACTCCGTCCGGCCTCCACCAAGCTGCCGAGGTGAGCACGCCTCCACCAAGACGCCGTAGCTCTTCTGGTAGTTGCAGAACACCCTGATGGGGATGCTGTCAACGTATCACCTGCGTGTGCATTTCATATCATTTTTTTTGTAGCTCATAGCTCATAATCAACGTAGTGTAGGCCGTAGTGTTGTTGGTAGAACTCAGTGGCTGTTATTGCTGCTAGAAATTCAGAGTCTGTGCATCTGATTCCAGTTTGACCCATGGTGGCGGCGGCAGTACATGAGCCGGAGGTGATCCGCGACAAGGCGGCGATGAACACATGGTCATGCCGCCGCCGCGTGGAGGGAAAGGTTGTCGCTTTAGTCCCCACAATGGGCTTCCTCCATGAGGGTCACCTCTCGCTCGTCTCCGCGGCAGCGGCGGCCTCCGCCGGCCCTGTCGCCGTCGTGGTCTCCATCTACGTCAACCCCAGCCAGTTCGCCCTGACCGAGGACCTTGCCACCTACCCCTCCGACTTCGCCGGTGACCTCCGCAAGCTGGCCGCCACCGGGGTCGTCGCCGCAGTCTTCTGCCCCCCGGACCTCTACGTCCGCGGTAGCGCTGACCGCCCCTCTGCGGCCGGCGTGTACGGGGGCACGGTGTCATGCCTGGAGGACGCCGGTGGGCATGCACACGAGACGTGGATTCGGGTGGAGCAGCTGGAGAAGGGGCTGTGCGGGAGCAGCAGGCCCGTTTTCTTCCGCGGCGTGGCCACCGTGGTCGCCAAGCTGTTCAACATCGTGGAGCCGGACGTCGCTGTGTTCGGGAAAAAGGATTATCAACAGTGGCGCCTCATCTGCCAGATGGTAACAACTTTGACATCGCTTTGACATCGATACACAAACATAATTTCTTCTGTTTACAATCAGCAATTGTCAAATTTCAATAGTTCAAGTACATATCTGCAGAAAAAGATAGCCATGGCAAATTGAAGCCAAATAGGCCTTAGACCATCAACCATTCAGACAATTACTTTTGCTCTAGACCTCTGGTTTATTGCTGCTTTCACCAAGCTGAAAACCTGGCACCAGTCCCCCTAAAAGAAAACAAAAAAGTTGTCACGGGATGTCTCTTGAGATGCCAACTTTGCTTGTCTTCTGTTTTCATGTTCACTTCAACTCTAGCCCCATGTAATGTGCCTTACCTATTTATCTCAGATCAAGTTTATTTGCTTTGTGTTACTGATACAAGCTCTTGCTGTTTTCAGGTTCGTGATCTCGATTTTGCCATACAGATAGTTGGTTCGGAAATAGTGTGAGAAGCTGATGGTCTTGCCATGAGCTCTCGCAATGTAAATCTGTCAGAGGAGGATAGGGAGAAGGTCTGTCTTTTACTGGAAGTTGCATTTTGTTTTTGCAATGAACCTTTTTTTTAATATGTTGTACAACAGTCACCATAAAATAGAGAGGTGAGTTTTAAGTATTTTGAAGAAAAAAATTATTCTGCAGTTTCTTCAGTGTTTAATTTAATCAGGTTGCACTCATGCAGCAGCTTACCTGCAGTAGGCATGGTTGTAAACTATACTCTGTTAGAAGTGTTTGTTGAATCTACGTAAAGAGCTGCAGAAATAAGTTAGACGACTAGTAAATTGCCTTGCTGTTGCAAGGGTTTTGCTTCTCTGTCCTTGTGCAGACCCAAGTTATGGACAATTTATCATCACAGCAATCTTAAGGCAGTTCATATAACTAGATAAGAAGGGAAGAATGGGATTTAATTGTCAGTTTATCATCACAGCAATCTCAAGTCAGTTCATAGAACTAGACAGGAGGGAAGAATGAGAGTTAATCTGCAAATGCAAACATGATGATTTTGGTCTATAGTATAGTGCGGTAGTCGACTGCATGTAAAATTTCTAGAAGAAACCATAATTTTCAAACTGTTACTCATTATGCTGATTTTCACATGTACTATATTACCCCTCGCTGTGGTGTAGCTTCCATGCTATAGATCAGAAGATGATGGTAGCTTTCTTGTTTCATTGTTAGAATTTAACAGTTCGTTTCTTCTCCCCCCCTCCCCTTTTACAACTTAACAATTTGATTTGTTTGTTAATAATTTTGCTGCATATATGGATTACCTGCGGAGGTACAACATAGGAGGAATGTAGTAAATCAACTTTTGTAAATATCTTTGTCCTTCTCACAAGAAACCTGGCTGTTAACTGTGGTCATTCCTTCATTAGGCGTTATCAATTAGTAGATCACTGGTGGATGCTAGAACCGCCGCCCTCAGTGGAAGCAATCATAGCCAACATATAAAAGATCAAATAGTGCAGATACTTGCTGAAGCTGGTGGCCAGGTTGACTATGTTGAGGTAATATGTTGTACTATGTCTCTGTGCTGCTCCTGAGCAATACTACGTTTCGTAGGTATTCCATTAGTGATTGAGTTTTCTGCTATCTCACCGATCATAGGTTTTTCATCGTACTGTGTTTCTTTTAGTAGTGTAGTGGTGCTGGGTTCCCCCTGGGGAGGGGAAACTGCTGAAATATGCATGACTGACATGTTGCAAATTTATTGCCTCCTAATGACAGCAGAATTCAGTACAACTAAATCTACCCTTTTTTTTGTTATGATGAGAACCCAGTGCTTACCTGATATGATGACTACTTCTACCTGTTTTGATTAGGCTATTCTGTTAGGTAAAGCATATATCGATGTAATGATCAAGTGATTCCATATTTATTGATTCAATTCAAAGTCGACGTTTATTTGTTGTCAATGCAGATTGTGGAGCAAGAAAGCTTGGTGCCTGTGGAGAGGATGGACCGGCCTTGTGTAATTTGTGTTGCGGCGTGGTTCGGAAAGGTCAGGCTAATTGACAATATCGAGATCCAGTCGACGTCCTCTGATAAATATAACTCCGTTGTTTGTCTATCTGCTGAGTCTTGATGAAGGAAGATGTAGACACGGACGGCTTCTCGTTGTGCAACGAGTATACCGACATGCTGAGCCTTTCTTGTCTCAAATACCTATTTATGCCTGCTTTTGCCTGAGTGGCTAGAGTTCTTTCTCTGAATAACAAAAATGTTATGATTATATATATCAAATAAACTGAAAGGTAGTCGACGCTCAGAGTTGGCCCGAAACTCTGCTCATGATCAAATTGCACCAATCTCGTAGCACTGCCCACCGAAGCCAAGATCATGAGTACGTGTGATCTACAGGATCAGCACTAGGGTGATTGATTTTGTGATTATATATCAGGCATGCGTGGCAGTTTTCTGCACTATGCACAAGAAGGATTAGCTAGGCACATAGGATATACTTTTGATAACTTGAACAGACATACATACATCAAAATAAATGCATAATAGTCATAAAACATCTGCTTTAATACCATGTACACAAAACTTCCAATGAAGACAAAAATATCAGCCACAAGATGCTCAGATTACTAATGAGAAAGGCTCACGGCACAAGGTGAGCAACCCGCCGGATGCCTGCGATGCACATGCACTGCAGGACAGGACTCTTTCTTTTAGACTTCAACAGCAGTTTAACCCCTTAGTATGGGTATGGGAGATGCCGATTTGCTGGCAAATGTGTGTTCGTTGTTTCAGGAGCAATATAATCTCGCTCTTCGTGTTCATAGATCGATCGAGTACAGAACTATATCATGCATCTTGATCCCAACGCAAAAAATAAAAAAATAAAAAAAATGGAACGACTGATGAAATAAATAATTGCTTCCGATATTTATGCTGCTTCTATTGCTATGTACAAGATTTGTCTGCACCCACAGCTTTATCAGCGACTCTGACTAGCAGCACAAGTGATAAAACTCAACAGCTTGGGTTTCTTAATGTTTCAGACGTGCCCTGCTTTTCTCCCATACACTCATACACGTGCGCAGCATGTTAGCTAGATGCATGTTTACTGTTCAGATGTAGTATTTGAAACAGCAGCGTAGTTGCAATCCACATCAACTGTGCTGCTATCTTTGGAACGCCTCTCTCTCACTGTAACCCAACTGATCTTCCACTTCTGGAGCAAGCTTACCCTGCATGCCACAAAATTTCGACAGTAAAAAAAACCACATATATAGATGCTGTCATTTAAATACGACAATTTATGCATATCCACAGCGTACTCAATGCAGTAAGTTGTCATGAATCCTACGAGAGCAACCCAAGATGGATGCAACCAAAAAAAAAGCATGTACATTCTTATTGATGGACCGAACAACGTTTGTTCTTCAACAAGCAGTCTAGAAGCTCACCTTTCTGGTTCAATAGTCCTTTTAGCTAGCATGAGAGCCAAGAAGACCGGTACCATCGCAGCACATAGATGCTTAAGAGTATGACCACTAACAATCTGATGAGTCCAGTTATAGATAGGTTTGTCGGCAGCCTCTTCCACTTTAGCAAGGAGGTAAAATCCTGAGATTAATTGTTTGACAAATCAGAACAATCCAGATTGCATAACTTGGATCAATGGTAAATTTTGCTTCCAAGAAATTCCTAGCAGTTAGTAATACAGATCAGTTAGAGTGGGCAGCTGCTGTTGCACCAAAATCCAGGAAACATCATTTTTTTTGTTGGGGGAAAAAAGAAGACATGAATTATTTTGTCAATGATAAATCATATACGATAAGTGGGGATAGAAAAACTCCCGCTGCTGAGAGCCTGTGCAATTGAAGAATTCAATAAGTTGCAAATACACGTTCTACTCCATCTGAATGTAAGTCCTAAGTTTTTCTTAAATTAATGTCCAAATTCCAATAGACCAAAAGAACAAACATCACAATGGCATTGAGAAACGCTCACAAACCTGCTGCCCACAACCAGTAGCTTGAATGTGTATACATCGGTGGAATTACTATAGCCATCACAGGTAAAGCAATGCATGGAACAAACTGAACCACTGCATACGGGCGAAGATCATCAAAGTGTCTGCATAGAGGATAGACAGTGAAAATTGAGGGGGTTGAAAGCAAATATATATATATATATGTATATATATATATATATATATATATATATATATATATATATATATATATATATATATATATATATATATATTCTCTGAGGGAAGAATATTTGAAAACATAGGAAAAACTTGCCTCCAATACATGATGCTCAAGGCACCAGTAATCACAAGTGGTGCAAGGGACTTTGCACCTGCTCTCTCATCAACCCTTTCAATGATGAATATAGCCATGACAGAAGTGAAAGCAATCGTCATCTAGAAAAAGAAAACAATTATGTCAACCTTCACCACGTTAAAAAATCTAGAACATCTCCTTTGGCTTTCTTCTATCTCTGTTTTGTTACTGTGCAGTTTTTTTCCCTTGCTTTTTAGGTCCTTGTACCTAAACCTGTTCTTTCTTTATTTTGTTAATAGAAATTGGCATGATCTGGTGATGGTTCGTTCAGGGGGGTGTTGGGGACTAGAACATGAGTAATGATAAAAATGTAAGATGACTTTTGATGTCTAAAGCTCTAATGTGAGGTGGGCTAAAGTTTAGAGCTAACTTTACACCACCTGTTTGGAGCTTTAGCTCTAAAGTTTAGAGGAGAGGATCCAAACAGACCCTTAGTATGTTGAGGAATATCAGGTAACTGATCCTAGTTGAGTAGTGAAATAAAAGACAGTTGGCCTCTCCATGATTTCGTTGCCAAAATTCCCATGATTGTGGTACATTGCACACACCGAAACTATGGGACTCCTTAGAACTAAACACAAGTAGAAACTATGGGACTCCATGGAACATAAGGCAAACATAAGGTAGAGCGAGGAAAAAAAAAGACTCACTGGCAGTCTGTCCCAAACTAGCGTGGCATCATTTGGGTTGAGATGGTAATAGGAAGAACCAAATCCAACAGCAGTGACGCCGGCAAAGAACAGTGTCCAACTCCAGAGCTCCCCCTGCGAGCTGGCAGCAAGATTACTGTCAGAGTGCTTTGAGTCTGTGACTCAGAACAGGAGTGAAACATGCATGAGCAGGTGTTCAGCACCTTAGCCTGAAATAGTTTTTGTAGTGGCACAAGATGAGCCCCGTGACGCCAACAAAAAAGAAGGGGATGTTTGAGATCACATTCAAGGTGTTAGGAATCCCTGCAGCAGAGATGAAGGGTTAGATCGAAAGGGTGACACCAAATTTCAGCATGGCAATATGTTGTTTAGATAAATATATAAACTCAGTATGGCAGCATGTCCATGCCATCTGTCGATTATCTGTACCATCAGTATCGACTAGAGCGTACAAGCATTTGATCCAGCTACCGATTCAATTAGCCAGTAGCATCAAAATAACATGATACAATTCTGAATTTCTGAACGTAGTGGCCAATGAACCATCAAACGCACCGTGCAGTATGACAAGAAGCGAGGGTCACGCCAATTAACCAAGTTTGTTTCCCCTTTTGAACTCAAGTTCATCCGTAGGTAGAGATTCCATTTAGTATGAATCGAAGAAACAAAATCGGTAGGGCAGAGCCCACTGGGAATTCAATTCCTAGCTAAGCTAGGCATACTATAGTAGGCACTGAGGCGCGGACGGGGGGCGGGCAAATTGAGGCACGGAGGATGGTGGTGGCGGGTAGAGGGTACAGTACCTAGGAAGAGGGTGCGCTGGTCGGCGAAGTCGTGGTAGGCCTCGTCCTGCGGGATGGCGGGCGTGACGAGCATGAGGACGACGAAGATGGCGGCCGCCACCGCCCAGGCCACCCACTTCTTCTTCCTGCCTGCGTCCATGGCCCCTCCTCGTGGATGGCCGGCGGCGGCTGGGTGATGGATCGGGATTCGGGAGGAGAGGCCTGGCTGGCCGGCGGCGAGGCGGAGTAGAGCCGTAGCGAGGGGCGGATCGGCGAGTCGGCGTGGGGATTTGGAATTCTTTCGTTGGCTTCGCACGCTTCGCTAGCACTTGCGGTGGACCTTTCAGCTTCCAGACTCCGCTATAGTCAACTTCCTTCCTCCTTAAGCACCTTGTTTTTTTTCATTTTTTTTCAAAAAAAAATTGTTTTTAAATATTTTCTTTTGTGAATCTGACCTTTCTTGGAAATTCTACTTTTGGTAAAACATGTGCAGTTTCCTGCTTTGCTTGTGAGAGCAACAAAAAGAAGATTGTGCACCCCACCTATGACGACTTCCTTGGTTGCCGGGATTTCAAAGAGGACGAAATGGATTTGTGTGGCAATAATTTCCCAGAGCTCGTGGACGTGCGCCCTGTTCGCTTGGCTTATAAGCCGTACTTTTTCAGCCAACGAATAGTATTTTTCTCTCACAACAAATCAGTCAACAGTACTTTCAGCCATGGACTACATCTTCTTTGATGCTGACAGGGATTGTGATTTTGCAAAGTACTTGGACGATCAGGTTGGCTGTGATGACATATACAGGTCCTCCTGATGTTCAGGGCTTTGGGTATCGTGGATAGTGTTCAGTGTGATCTCTTGGTCAGTGAGGGTGGCTGACAGTAAGATGTGAATTGTAGAGGATTCCATTGGGAGGAGAACAAGTCACAGGGGATTCGCCTAGGGCTTATCTAACTAGTATAAGCAAAGGTGCTGACAGACAGACTACGTTGGTTAAAATAGTTTATGTAGATAGATGTCATGGGTCGTCTATTAAACTCGGCACAGCCCAGAATTTTGTTCCATTCGTGTTATGTTTGGTTGTCTGCTCTCAGTTTTTATTTCCCCTGTTTTCAGTGAACTGTTGCGAACTTTGCATCAACTAAAGGCTAGTGGATGGAGGATCGTTGGTTATTTTGATAAAGCCTCTGTTTAAAAAGGCGGCACATGCATTTTGCCAGGCTTCTTTGGTGTGGAAATGTTTTGAGCTTCATGTATATAAATAGGATAAATTGGAGATGGAGAAATATGAACTAGGATTATGACACTGTAAAGCACAGCATGCTCAAGGCTGTCATTCATGAAGAATGGTAGCCTAGATTTTTTTTTTGATAGGATGATAGCCTAGATTTCAGTTGCCTGGCTCTCAGGCGACGAGTTGCCAACTGATTGCAATCTGACGATCAGCAAACGTCCCCTGATCAGCATCTCCAAAGAGTTTTCAAAATCCACTCCTAATCTTTTTTTATAAAATTGAAAAAAAATTGGTCAATAACAACGCACAATCTCAACTCTCAATCTTTTCGCACCGGGGAAAATTGATCCAATCGCGACAAAGGCGTCTGTTTAATAGCAATTGCCTATGTGTACTTTTTGCTGTTTCTTTCCGTTTCCGAACCCCTTCCTGCGCACGCCGCCGTGTTCAACTTCACTGTGTTGGAATAATTAGAGTAAGTGGCTTAGCACTTTCCATTCATTGAGTAGGAGTTTATATAGGGAAATTACACGACTCTTGACATTCTAAACTTATCACATTCTATACTTATTACATTCTAATACCCTCCCGCAGTATCAACCGGGAGAGGAGCGGACGTTGAGACTGGATAGAAAGTTGATGAAGACAGCAGTGGGCAGTCCCTTGGTGAATATGTCGGCATATTGAAGGGACGTTGGAACATGTAGAACCCGCACAGCCCCAAGGGCCACACATTCCTGAACAAAATGTAGATCAATCTCCATGTGCTTGGTCCTTTGGTGATGAACTGGATTTGTGGACAAAAAACGGCACTAATGTTGTCACAATATACAAGAGTAGCACGTGTTAGAGGGCGGCGAAGTTCACCCAATAGTTGACGAAGCCAACATGCCTCAGCCACGGCATTAGCGACACCTCTGTATTCAGCTTCAGTACTAGATTGCGAGACGGTGCGCTGGCGCTTGGAGGACCATGATATAAGATTATCGCCAAGAAACACGCAATATCCAGAGGTGGAGCGTTTGATTAGAGCAAAGTGGGACTCCCGAGGGTCATGCATATATAAGCAAACTAGCTGAACGACATGAGCAATATCCGGCTGTGTGAGAGTCAAGTACTGTAAAGCACCAGCGAGACTCCGATATAATGTAGGATCGGCAACCGGCGGCCCGTCTTGGGCGGACAGATTGGAGTGAACCTCAAGCGGAGTTTGACAAGGATTGCAAGATGACATGTTTGCCTTGTCCAAAATTTCAGCAGCATATTTAGCTTGAGAAAGAAAAAGACCTGTAGATGAGCGTTGAGCTGAAACTCCTAGGAAATAATGAAGATGGCCAAGATAAGCCATGGCAAATTCTTGCTGCAGAGAGCCAATAATATACTGAAGAAGGCGTGGAGATGAAGTCGTCAATATAATATCATCCACATATAACAGAAGATAGGCCATATCTGCCCCTTGAGTGTAGATGAACAATGAATTGTCACTCTGAGAAGCCCGAAAACCAATCGAGGTGATGAATGCCTGAAAGCGGCTGTACCACGCCTGTGGGGCCTGTTTGAGACCGTATAGGGCTTTGTTGAGCTTGCACACATGATTAGGACATGCCGGATCAACAAACATATGAGGTTGCTGGCAATAAACAGTTTCATTCAGAGTGCCATGTAAGAATGCATTTTTGACATCCAACTGATGAATAGGCCAATCACTAGAGACAGCGAGCGATAATACTGTGCGGATGGTAGCAGGCTTGACCACGGGACTGAAGGTTTCATCATAGTCAAGACCGTGCTGCTGAGAGAATCCACGCACAACCCACCTAGCCTTGTACTGAGCCAAATATCCATCAGCATTGCGCTTGTGACGATAGAGCCATTTGCCTGAAACAATATTAGCATGTGGTGGCGGTGGCACAAGATCCCATGTTTGATTGGCAATGAGGGCACCATATTCCTCCTCCATAGCAAGCTTCCAATTTGGATCAGAGAGGGCACCTCGATATGTTTTGGGGAGCTTGCTAATATCCGCTGGAATTGTGGATAAATTAAAGATTTGTCGAGGTTGACTGATACCTGATTTGTCCCGGGTTTGCATAGCATGCTGATTGACAGTGGGCAGAACAGCAACAATTGGCGCATTGGAGGATCGTTGAGCAGCTGGTATGACGGCCGAGGTAGAGGACGACGACGTAGTCGTGGTAGAGGATGGTTGTTGTCGGCGCTCGTAGACCTGGGTGATCGGCGGCCGTGGAAGATAACCAAGTCCTGATGATGTCGACCCAGTGGTAGCGCCAGGACCAACAGTAGTGCGAGCAGCAGGCAGCTGTGTCGCACCAGCTACAGGGCTAGGCGGTGGTGCCGAACCAGTAGCAGCCTGGTGTCCAGTATGTGTCAGACCAGCAGCAGCAGTCCCAAGCACAGGAGGTGCAGCATGCACGTGGTCTCCAGTATGTGTCGGACCAGCTACAGCAGTCCCAAGCACAGGAGGTGCAGCATGCACGTTTTGTGTGGAGGAGCTGCCCGCACAAGGCGAAGCGCCAGCACTGGGTGCGCCGTGCGACGGTGATGGCACCACCTGATGGTGAGTGGGGCCACTGGCACCATGCCCGTCGGAGGAACCAGCCCCGTCAGGCCCCAAGGACGGCGAGCCAGGCGTTGGAGGTGAAGGGCCGGGTGCCGCCATGGGAAGGACGCTAGACATCACTTGATCACCTGTCATCCAAAAAGTCATAGGCACTCAAAGGTGCCGGTGAGGTACGAGTAAAAGGGAACTGGTGTTCATCAAATGTCATGTGACGGGAGATGATGACACGGTTGGTAGAGAGGTCTAAACACCGATATCCCTTGTGATTATCGGGATAGCCAAGAAGCACACACTTCGCTGATCTTCGTGCGAGTTTATGTGGCATAGTGGATGAAAGGTTTGGATAGCAACGACATCCGAATATGCGGAGATGATCATATGTGGGTGGTGTACCAAAAAGGGTTTGGTGAGGAGTACAATTTTGAATGGTTTTGGTGGGGTGGATGTTGAAGACGTGAGTGGCGGTGCGCAGGGATTCAGCCCAATATGCCGGCGGCATGGAGGCTTGGAAAAGCAAAGTGCGCATGATGTTATTAATGGATCGAATGACCCGTTCGGCCTTGCCGTTTTGCTGGGATGTGTGAGGACATGATAGACGAAGATGGATGCCGTGTTCAAGAAAGAAGGAGCTGAGCTGCATTATTCTCAAATTCATGACCATTATCGCATTGAATGAATTGAATACGAGAATTAAAGTGAGTGAGCACATATGTGTGGAAGTTGCGTAAGTTGTTAAACGTTTCAGATTTTAGTTCTAGAGGGAAGGTCCATAAATAATGTGTGAAATCATCCGGACACACAAGATAGTATTTAGAACCAGATATGCTCATAATTGGAGACGTCCACAAATCACAGTGAATTAATTCAAACGGTTTAGATGCACGTGACAAGGAATTGAAAAAAGGTAGACGACTGTGACGACCCAATTGACAAGCATGACACAAGGAGGTGTCATGAGGACTAGGAATAACAGAAATAGATTTATTTGACCGTAAGCGAGATAGAACTTGAGCATCGGGATGCCCTAATCGTTGGTGCCAAGTAGTCTCCAGGGCAGCGAGCAAAGCGCTAGGAGTTGGGGTGGACTGTGGAAGGAGCAGGTAAAGGTCGTCGGAGCTATCACAGCGGTGGAGCACCGCCATGGTTTGAAGATCCTTCACAGATAAACCAAAGGGGTCAAATTCAACCGAGCATGAATTATCTTTGGTAAATTTACGAACTGAAACAAGATTAGCTATGAGGTGGGGTGAAACAAGGACATTGGATAGGTGAAGAGGACGGTTGGAATTGGGAAACGAAGTGTGACCCGAACAAGTTATAGGTAAACGAGTTCCATTACCAACAA